CCCCCCCCCCTCTCCCAACCTAAATGAAACATTGTCCTTAGTGTGAAGATTAAACATGCAAAATGTATGAAGGATGGTAAGAAGCAAAATTTTGAACAAAGGGACAAGTTTTGAGCTTTACTTGGAGAGTCTGCATAAACTTGACCTAGATGAACCTTCAATTTCATTAGAGGAAAAAAGATGACTATAAAAGAAACACACCTAAAACAAACACATGACATTATAAAACAGCAAAAAAAAACATAAAAAATAAAAAAATGAGAAAAGGATATCAATCTTTAGGATCATGTAAAGCAATGGACTCTTCTAATATAGAGAAATTCTCAAAAAATGGTTTCAAACGATGTCCATTAGCGTTAAAAATATTTCCATTACTTGGATTTTCAATTTCTACAGCTCTGTGTGGGTAAACAGTTTTGACAGTGAAAGGGTCAGTCCACTTGGAGCATAATTTTTTAGGAAATAAATGTAATCTTGAGTTGTACAGAAGAACTTTTTGGGAAGGCTCAAAAGTTTTTCTAATAATATTTTTATCATGGAATACCTTCATTCTTTCTTTGTAAATTTGAGAGTTCTCATAAACTTCATTCTTGATTTCTTCCAACTCATTCAATTGATGTTTCCTTAGTGAACCTGCCTTATCTAAATTGAAATTAAACATTTTAATAGCCCAAAATACTTTATGTTCCAATTCAACAAGTAAATGACAAGGCTTTCCAAAAATAAGTCTATAAGGTGACCTACCAAGAGGTGTTTTGAAAGTTGTACGATAAGCACAAAGTGTATCGATTAATCATAAAAGCCAATCATTTCTATTTGGATTCACCATTTTTTCCAAAATGTATTTAATCTCTCTATTTGCAAGTTCAGCTTGACCACTAGTGTTTGGGTGATTAGAAGTAGACATTTTATGAGTGATTATGTTTTTTCATTAGGGCCTTAAATGGTTAATTACAAAAGTGTAAGCCCCCATCACTTATAATGGTTTGAGGTATTCCAAATCTTAACAAAATATTTTCTTTCAAAAATTTCACAACAATTTTGTGGTCATTGTGTTTACAAGGAATTGCTTCTATCCATTTAGAAACATAATCAACTCTTAACAAGATGTATAAATAACCAAAAGATGATTTGAATGGACCCATGAAATTAATACCACAACAATTTTGTGGTCATTGTGTTTACAAGGAATTGCTTCTATCCATTTAGAAACATAATCAACTCTTAGCAAGACGTATAAATAACCAAAAGATGATGTGAATGGACCCATGAAATCAATACCCCAACAATTAAATATTTCAATAATTAATATGGGTGTCAATGGCATCATATTTCTACGTGTTATCCCACCTAATTTTTGACAACATTCACGAGCTTTACAAAGCTCATACATGTCTTTGAAAAGAGATGGCCAATAAAATCCAGACTGCAAGATTTTTGCTGCAGTTTTCTTTGAAGAAAAGCGATCGCCACATGCTTCAAAATGACAAAAAGAAATGATCTTTTGAATTTCATTATTTGGCACACATCTTATTATTTGGTCTGGACAATATTTGAACAAGTGAGGATCATCCCAAAAGAAATTTTTTACCTCTTTGAAGAATTTCTTTTTGTCTTGGATATTCCAATGAGATGGTATTTGACCTGTTACAAGAAAATTAGCAATATCAGCAAACCAAGGCAAGTCAAAAATGCTAAAAAGTTGTTCATCAAGGAAAGTATCCTTGATCGATGTTATTTCAAACGATTTATCACAAGTAAGCCTAGACAAGTGATCTTTTCTTGAATGGTGATGTCAAATTTTTGGAATAAAAGAATCCACGTAGTCCACCTAGGTTTGGCATCTTTCTTAGAAAGGAGATATTTTAAAGCTACATGATCACTACAAATAACAATTGGTGAGCCAACAAGATATAATCGAAATTTGTCCAAAGCAAACACTACGTACAACAAGCTATTCTTTTTCAGTGGTGGAATAATTCATTTGTGCAATATTCAGAGTTTTATTTGCATAGTAAATAACATAAGGTTTCTTGTCTTTTCTTTGGCCTAAGACAACTCCAACAACATAATCACTAGTATCACACATGATTTCAAAAGGTAAATTTCAATCAGGAGGTTGCATGATAGGAGCACAAGTAAGCATTTTCTTAAGTTCAACAAAAGCTTCTTCACAAGACTTAGTACATTCAAAAGGCATGTCTTTAGATAAGATATTACACAATGGTTTACATATAGAACTAAAGTCTTTGATAAACCTTCTATAAAAACCAGAATGTCCTAAAAAATATCTTACATCTTTAACACTATTTGGAGTAGGCAAATTAGAAATCAATTTAGTTTTAGACTTGTCTAGCTCAATTTCATTAGAAGATACAGTATAAACAAGTATGATACCACTAGTGACCATAAAATGACATTTTTGCCAATTGAGCAAAAGATTCTTTTCTTCACACCTAACTAAAACTTTTTGTAAGTTAGTTAAACAATCATCAAATGAATCTCCAAAAACAGTAAAATCATCCATAAAAACTTCCAAAAATCTTTCAATCATGTCGCTTAAAAATACTAAGCATGCATCTTTGAAATAAAATTGGTCATTACATAATCCAAATGGCATTTTACGATAAGCAAAAGTGCCAAAGGGACATGTGAAAGTGGTCGTTTCCTAGTCCTCAAGTGCAATTTCAATTTGGTTATACACAGAACATCCATCTAGAAAACAATAGAATTCATGTCCTACCACTCTTTCCAACATTTGATCCATAAAAGGTAAAGGAAAATGATCTTTCCTAGTTATTGAGTTAAGTTTCTGATAGTCGAGACACATGCGCCAACTAGTAAAGTTCTAGTTGGATTTAACTCATTTTCTTCATTTTTTTTACTACAGTAACACCAGATTCTTTTGCCCATCTACAATCAGAAATAGGATAAATAATTTCATTATCTAAGAGTTTAATGACTTCATTTCTTTCCACCTCTTTTAAAAAATGATTAGGCCTTTGTTGCATTTCTCTTGTAGGTTTAGCATATTCCTCCAAATAAATCTTATGTGTATAAATCAAAGGACTAATCCCCTTTATATCAGCTATGGTCCATCCTAAAACATCTTTATGCATTTTCAAACTTTGTAACAACTTACCTTCTTGGTGCACATCAAGTTGGGAAGAAATTATTACCAAAAAAGTTTCATCTTCACCCAAAAATGAGTATTTCAAATTAGATGGTAACGGCTTCAAATCGAGCTTTGGCATTTGAACGCTTGAAATCATGGACATATTGGACTGTTGTGGCAATTTTTCAACCTTCAATTTCCAATCAATTGTCTTTTTTCTCCTGAAAAAAATTCAACAAAGAAATTATATGTGAATTTTTAGAATTATCGTTGAACTCAAATTCTAGCACACAAGATGAAGATGTAGTGATAAACTTATCATCAACAAGTTGTTCAATAAAATCTATTTCATGCAAAACATCTTTATCTCCATGTTGCTTGCAAATGTTAAAAACATTCATTTCCACGTTCATATTTTCAAAAGAGAGTTTCAAGGTACCATTTCTACAAATTATCAACGCATTTGAAATAGCAAGAAAGGGATTACTTAAAATGACAGGTATTTGAACATTTGAATTTAAAACATGATGTGTGTCCAAAATCATAAAGTCAATGGGATAATAGAATTTATCAATTTGAACTAGAACATCATCTACAACCCCTCTTAGAACTTTTGCTAAATCAGCAAGTTGAAGTGTTGTTGTTGTTGGCTTAAGCTCTACCAAACCAAGTTGCTCATACACGGAGAAATGTAATAGATTAACACTAGCAACAAGTTCAAGCAAAGCATGCTATATCCTATTATTCCCAATCACACAAGAAATTGATGGACAACCAGGATCGTTAAATTTAGGTAGAGTGTTTTGTTAAATGATTGAGCTCACGTTTTTTATAAAAATGCTTTTTGTTGAACATTAAGTTTTCTCTTGACAGTGCACAAGTCTTTTAAAAATTTTGCATATGAAGGAACTTGTTTGATTGCATCCAATAATGGTATGTTAATTTTAACTTGTTTGAAAATTTCAAAAATTTCAGAATCATAGTTGAATTTTGAAATTGGTTGCAATCATTGAGGAAATGGGGTTGGAATGGGACATTTTTCAACACTATGTTCAGAAATGGATTTTTCCTCTATTTTGGAAACATTATTTTCTTGCTTTGAAGTCCCACTCGATTTTTGTTCTTTTGAAGGAATAGTTTTGTCAATAATTTTTCCACTACGAAGAGTCATGATGGAGTTGGCATTTTCTTTTTGACTTTCAGAGGAACTAGATGCATTTACATTAAATTGTCCAGAAGGATTTAGTTGAGGTTGAGTAGGAAATTTACGTTTCTCTTGAGAACGCAAAGAAGAGGTCAATGAAGAAAGTGTATTCTTGATTTTATTGATAGCTTGTGAAGTTTGATTATTAATGTTTGCTTGTCCTTGCATGAATGACTGCAATGTTTCTTTGAGAGTTTTTTATTATGGTGGTGGATAAGAGGAAAATTTTGAAAGCTCTTGAGGTTGTGATATATAAACACGATTATCATCTCTCCAACTAAAGTTGGGATGATTTTTCTATTGTTGATTATATGTTTCTGAGAATGGAGAAGGAAAAGGCTTTTTGAAAGTGTTCATAGCATTGGACTTGATCATGTAAAACTTCTCTAAAAATTGGGATGTTAGGACAATCATGCATTGGATGCCCAAAAGTTTCACAAGTGCTACAAATTTCATCGTTTTCCACTGGTTTAACTTCCTTTACTTTCCTTAATTCCCTAGCTTCAACCTTTCTAGACAGATTGGCAATCCTAGCATTTAGATCGTCCTCTTGAGTCAATTGATATTTTCCTCTGCAAGACTAGTAAGACTAGATTTGATTGAGTTTTCGATTGGTTTTACCATTTGCCAAGATTGAGAATTTTCAGCTAGATGATCTAGAAATTCTGAAGCCTCATCAGGATCTTTATCTAAAAATTCACCATTGCACATCGTTTCTACAAATTGTTTTGTTTTAGGAGTTAAGCCCTCATAAAAAAAAATTATGTTATGTCATTTTTCAAAACCATGATGTGGGCATGTATTTAACAAATCTTTAAATCTTTCTAAACATTGAAAGTATGCTTCATTGGTTTTTTGAGAAAAATTTTGGATTTGCCTTTTCAAAGCATTAGTTTTATGTGCTGGAAAGAATTTCTTCAAAAACTCGTTTTGTATTTCTTGCCATGTGCCAATAGACCTAGATTTTAAAGAGCTAAGCCAAGTTTTTGCTTTATATTTTAGAGAAAAAGGAAACAATTTCAACTTAACAGTTTAATTACGGCAAGTTTGATCGTTAAATGTGGCACATACTTTCTCAAATTCTTTAAGATGCAAATATGGACTTTCAGATTCTAAATCATGAAAATTAGGAAGCAATGGAATCATACCCGACTTGAATCGAAAATTATTAGCATTAAGAGGGAAAATGAAACATGAAGGAGCAAAATTCAGAGGAGGTTGCAAGTAATAACGCATTGGTTCCTACTTGTTGGTTTTCATTTTCATCATTTACACTTTCATTATCATCCATGGTAGAAGATGTGAGTAAGTGTAGAGATAAGTCAAATTAGATTCACGTTACCAATATGATATGAAATAGCATAAAGTAGATGTAAAGAATGAAAATTAGGTGGCATGGCCAACCATATAATAAAGAAAAGGTAGTTTGGGAAGCTCGGCTTTCCTTTAAAGTAAAATAACTAAAGTAATAAGATGGAAAAAGGAACGAGTGTACCTGATTTATGAAGCTTACAAAAGAGAAGAAAATCTCACAAAAAGTAGCAGAAGATAATCCTTGACGCAAATCCCCGGCAATGGCGCCAAAAATTTGCTACAACTTTAAGGTTGTAAACCCAAGTGTAGGTTTTCTCAAGTAGTAAACTCAAAAGTCTAAGGTCGAACCACATTGAAATGGAAGGAAATAAACTATTCTGAGTAGTGAATAGTTGGTGAAAATACGATGAAGAAGATCACTAAAGTGTTGCAGATTCACTTTGGATAAATGAGTGGAAATTACTTTTGATCTTTTATTTAACTCATATGAAAATCAACTAGGGAGTGATTTCATATGGAAGATAGAACATTGATTACAAGTATACTAAAAGATAGTTCGTAATAATTGTTTGAGAGAATATGTCAAAATAAGTTGTTGATATGTATAGATCATCTGAGCATTTATTGTGCCAAAATTCTCAACAATAAATCAAAGTCTTTAACAAACCAAAACCATTTATAGAAAATATACTTCAACCAAGTAAGAAGATGAATGTTGAAGAAAAAATGAAAGATCAAAGACAATGCTATACATTTACCAAAGTTTCACCCCTACCTCTAGCTAAAGTTTTAAAAATACATAATGAAATGTTACAAAGAAAATGAAGAAAATTGGATTACAATGAAGAGAAATTGATGCTCTCAAAATCTTGTCCAATGCCCCCTTTTATAGGCTAAGGAACATCCAATATGCAAGTGGACAATGCAACTTATTTCTGTCCAGTGTTAAGACAGTTGGAATGTACAAATTGATACAAATTTTTAGATACTTTGTGCAGTGAATATGGACTTTTGATCAACAGATAATTGTTTCCACTTGAGTTATCTTTCCATTGGTGTAAATTTCAGGTCTATTGGATCTCTAAAACTCCAGATATGGCTCATAAGTAGAAAAACTGTATCCGGCTGTTAACAACTTGGATTTTGCACGGTAATTTTAGCTGCCTTGTGATGAGAATTTGACTTCTTGCGAAATATGAAAGTAGTAGATACATATCTTATCTTTCCTATCCAACTTGAATAACCTTGTTCGATATCTACAGCTCAAGTTATGACCATTTTAATGAGACAGCCGCATCTTGCTCGAGACAGCTCATCATTCTTGACTTTTCAACATTGTTTCCTCCATTTACTCCACTTGTTCTACATTGGAGATGCACGTGAAATACATCAAATAAATACTCTTTCAAAAGTATATTACTCATGCCAACATGTATTTAAATACATATTTCGATTAATTGCATTTTTAACAATGTATTTGTGGAAATTGTATTTAAGGCAAGAGAATTGAAATTAGAGACTAACATTAGTGATTTTGAACAAAGTGAATGTAAAATGTCTTGTAAATGATATATTTTTGAAGCACTTTTAGACACTAATCAAAGGCCCAGGCAACTTTATGCAATCGCATAGTAGAAGAAGGCATGCGACCGCATGCTTATAGGCAGGGAATTGGCGATGACAATTCAAATGAACTATGTGATCGCATTCAAATGCACTATGAATTCCAGTGGCAAGATTTTTCCTTTTACACAAACTTTCCTTATTTCATTAGAATTTTATTATAGACAATATTCTTGTAATCTTTAATTCTATTTTAAAGCTAGGATTAGAGTTTTATTCGTATTAAAACTAGTTTCTAGATTTTCTACATATAAATGGGTTTATTTTCATTGTAAAACATTACCTTACATTATTTTGAGAATTTCCAATAGAGAGGCAAATTTTTTTCTTCATATCCTTCTTCATCGAACAATTGGAACTTATCAAGAATTACAATCTTGTGGCGTTTTACAATCCAGGTGTGGGTATTAATCGTGTAATCAAGGGGTCTTTCAAAGTTTGATCTTGTTGGATTTTTTTGTTCATATATTCGGGTTCAAACTCTCAAATCTTTTAATTGGCTTTTCTGGGTTTCTAACAATCTAGTTGTGGGTTTCGTAGTCAACGTTGCTACGGGATTTGTATCAGTTGATTTCAAAGCACGGGCTCCAATTTAGTAGGTTATATCATTGTGTTTTTTTTTTAGTCTTTGTTCTTAGATTTTCAACATTTTGTTATTTCCTATTCTAGTGTTCTTCGTTTCTTCGTGTTCGAGTCTTTTAATCTATCAAATTTTGTCAAAGTTGTTTTGAGGCTATTCTAGCATCCAAAACCACCTTGTTTAATTTGTTGGTAGTTTAATTCATTGTTTTCGTTCAAAAAAATTTTAAAAAGGGGTCAAAACAATTACTGTTCATGGTACTGTTAAAAACAATTGCATTTATTTTTATTAATCAATTTACTACCAAGAATCTTTATTTTCTAAATTTTGTCAAGTCACATTAGTTTCTTTCATTCAATCAAACTCGAGTCAATTTTATTAAAAATTCTTCGAGTCCTTTTGTTTCACAATCATTGATTCACATTTGGTTGGGAATTCCACGGGTTTAATATTCTTCAGGTTCACTTTGTTCTTTGAAGTGCTTCGCAGAAAGTTCTGAGTTGTAAAAAGGTAGAATTGTGAGATTAATAGAGAGAAAAGCCATATTGTGTAATTTTTCAAGTGAATACCAGTGAAGGAGATAAAATTTCTAGATTTAGAATGTCTGATTGAGAAGATTCCAATTCAAGCCGATGCGACAATCATAACAGTGTGTCAAATGATTTGATATAGCGATTTGAAAGTGCGTTTGGGGATGTTAGAGATAGGTTGGACAAATAGGAAGCTTGGAGAGCAAGACAGGAGGTTTGGATGACAAGGTTAGATACATCGATAGCTAATCTTAGTAGGGACAACAAGTTGAGATATCTAATGTTAGGGGCTTGGGTAGACGAGAGCCTAGGAGGGAAAGGCAAGAGAAATATGACTACAGTAGTGATGTGGATGAGGATGAATTTAATAGTGTTGAAATGGGACGGATGAGGAATAGAGGCGATAAGTTTGACAGACGGGGTAGGAATAATCATAGAGATGAGATGGATGGAAACATAGGTAATATCAAAATGATCTTTCCACAATTTAAAGGGAAAAGAGACCTGAAGGCGTGTTTAGAGTGGGAGAGAGGTTGAATTTATTTTCGAATGTTATAACTACTCAGAGGAGAAGAATGTGAAGTTGGCAGTTCTACATTTCATTGACTATGCAATAACCTGGTGGGATCAAGTGGTTACTTCACAATATAGGTGTGGGGAAGACCAATTAGTACTTGGGATGAGTTGAGGACATTAATGAGAAAACGGTTCACTCCTAGTCACTATTATAGGGAGATCCATCAAAATTTGCAAAGCTTGTATCAGGGGTCGAAGAGCGTGAAGGATTATCACAAGGAAATGGAGATACTCATGATTAGGACGAATGTGGTAGAGGATCGGGAAGATACTGTGGCACGATTCTTGAATGGGTTAAATAAGAAAATTGCTAATGTAATGGAGTTGCAACATTATGTGGAGTTAGAAGATATGTCGCATGTGGCCATGAACGTGGCATGACAATTGAAGAGGAAGGGGACATCTAGACAATCGTCAGGTACTTCGGGTTCTAATTCATCTTGGAAACCAAGTTGGGATAATAACAAGGGTGATAGGGCTGTACCTAAAGGTAGGAATGATTGGCAAAAGGGAAAAGATGAAGGTGTTAGCAAAATAATACCAAAATTAGTTTCACAACAATCAAGGCGTCGAGACATCAAGTGTTTTAGATGCTTAGGGTTGGGGCACATCACTTCTCAATGCCCAAACAAAAGAGCAATAGTGTTGCGAGACAATGGAGAGGTGATAAGCGAAAGTGAAGGTGAATATGAAGACATGCCAGAGTTGGAGGAGGTAAGGTGAATATGACGACATGCCGGTGTTGGAGAAGGTTAGTGTAGAAGAAAAGTTCGAAGGTGCTGCTGATCTTTTAGTTGTAAAGGCGAGCTCTTACTACTCACATCAAGGTGGATAACTTTGAGTTACAACAGGAAAACATTTTCCATACTCAATGCCACATCAACGATACGGTATGTAGTATAATTATTGATGGTAGTAGTTGCACAAATGTTGCTAGCGTAGCACTTGTAAAGAAGTTAAATTTAACATTGTTGAGACAACCTAGGCCATATAAATTGCTATGGTTAAATGAAAGTGGAGAAGTTAGGGCTAATAGAAGAGTGTTAATTAATCTCTCAATTGGAAGTTATTGAGATAAGGTAGAGTGTGACATAGTACCAATGCAAGCGGGACATATTTTGTTGGGAAGATTTTGATAATATGATAGAAAAGCTATACATGATGGGTACAAGAATAGCTACAATTTCATTAAGGACGGGAGGACCATCATGTTAAGACTTGGAGTTTCATCTTAAAAGGTCAACCTTGTTAAGAGGAGTAGCCCAAGTTCTTATAAATTGGTCTATGTTTTCATCTTTATTCGATGTGGGATTTATCCCTTAACACATCATTCTTGTGCCATTAGCACCAACACAAGTATATAAGGACCAAATCAAGTTGAAGAATGAAGAGAAAAGAGTAAAAGAGCTAGAAAAGATGAGAGAAAATAGTGAACCGGAGGAAAAGAGAGGAAACGATGAGGTTGTGAGTAAGAGAGAAACTGGTAAGGTGGCTATTAGAGTGAAAAAGAGAGAGCGGCCACAAAAGAGAAAAGAAATGAGTCTTCCGAGAGAAAAGAAAAATCACGAGTGAATTTCTTTACAAAAGGGAGTGAATTGAGGAGAGCGGTAGTT